CAAGACAACGTCATAAATCTGTCCACGATACCCTGGCGCCACGAGTCTGAAGTGAGCCTAACGAACTAGCAGCTTCGAACAGCTTTCAACATTAAACAAAAGAACACTTATTGACAATTCCAACTCAGGAAGGAGTTTGTCAAATTTGGGGCAAGTGACCAAGCTTAATGGCCAAAGAGATACACAGCATGACCATCACATGTAAATCTGTCATAGAAATCACAATCTAAAGACTTCCTCGGATTGGTTTCCCCCACCCAGGACAAAGACCAGACTCCTTCTAGACCTTTTGACCTTTTGCTCCTCACAAAGCACATTCTCATGTTTACAGAACCACAGAGATCTTTTACAGATGAACATGCAACAAAATTATCTCAAAAGGACCTATAAAAAAATATCAGTCCATTGCTTAACTCCATATCATGTATTTAACCCACACATTTGACTATCATGTTCTAATCACTCATTGTGTAAGTCATTTTGAATAACTATTGAATAGTTTATAGGTTTATATTCATGTTTACTATGTGTGTGTTTGAATTTTCATGCTTTAAAGGGGTCCTATTATGCTCTTTTACAAAGTCTTGATTTTGTTTTGGGGGTGTACTAGAACACATTATTTTTCACATATTTTACATTATTACAACACCTCTCTCTCCCCAGTCTGGCATGAACAGCTTCGAATAGTTCCTGTATCAAATGAAGGCCCACCTTCTGAAATACGAAATGTGCTGTGATTGGTTAGCTGGGCCAGTGTGTGCCCCTTTAAACATTTCTATCAATCAATACTTTGTAAAATGTATTATATTTTTGTTATAGAAATCATGTCCAAATTATACTCCGCAAGAGAGGGAAAATTCGGACCATGTGACTGATAAGATAACATGTTGATTTATGTATTGGGAGGAGAAACATAGTAACACCCCGAGTTAAGACAATGTCTAACTGGTCAAGAAACCATTTGGGATGTGTCCAACAGCCGAGTTTAAAAACTCAGGACACCATCAAATGTTGCTTTTTGCTCTTAGCCATGCTTTTGCTACCGCTGCTTTTTAACGCTCTTTGAGCGTGCACTGGCTTACATGCCAGCTGCTTCGTACATCTTGAGGAGAAAATCCATCTAGTCTCGTCACACTCTTATTCTCTTTCTTTTACTTCAGTTCATTTTCTTTTCCGTTGAGAGTTTCGCGTTCTGAGTTAGGTTTTGCCGCAAAGTCCAACTCCGACTGCGCCCGCCTTAAAACTTCAACCAGCCACTGACTCTGCACCATTTGTAGGCCAACACCCAAGACGTCACTTCGAACGATGATTAAACGGAAAAAAAATTAAAATGATTGCACAACCATCAATTACGTGGCGATATGCACTAAGCATGTAAACGACCACTGAAAAAAAGAAGAAGAAAGAAACAGCATGGCGTGCTTTTTTTTAGCGTCCGTTTCCATAGTGACTTGTCGATTCATCGCTCTGTTGAGAATGTCTTGAGTCTTAACCAGGAACATACTCTGAGTTGAATGAACTTACTCTCGGACGCGTTTTTGGAACCACATACCTTGAGTAAGCAAGGTTTGGGGTTAATCAACCGAAAGTTCAGGGTTTAGCTGACGGTAAGTTAACAGTGCTTTCTGGAATACACCCCTGGTGTATTTGATATATATTTTAACCTCATTGAGGAACTCAATGTGAGGGTTAATTAAATGATTGATGGTTGCTCAGGACTGAGCAATTGCACATATTGCTATAAACTTGGGATTTCACATTTTCATTCTCTTAAACTCATTCTTTCCTCACTTTCTCTCTTCCTGCAACTTGTGTGAATGTGTGAGTGCGCGTGTTTATGTGTGAGATTAGTTTATATTGTCTTAGATTTATTTGAATAAAGTCTTATTTATATTGAAAACAAAAGTATCTTGTGTTTTGTGCTTACAAGTTAATGTCTTAAACTGCCGATCTTGTTACTGTTGTAGCATCTGGACCAATCAGACACACAATTTTTGTTGTTGTTATATTTAACAAAATACTCCGTAACACCCCTCAATCAACAAGTGAGGGCTCAATGGACCCTTCCCCCGAAATGCGGCTAACGCCTCAAAAAGGCAGAACAGGCCTCTGGTTCCATGGCAACCAATGCTGATAACACTAGTTTTATTGCTCAAAGGAATGCGGGCAGAGCAACTCTCAATTCATTTACCCTTAGGAAAGACACACAATGCCCATAAAAATCGACTCTTCTGTAATTAATTCATAGAAAAATCTTTCTGTGAATGAACACGCATCTCTTCAGGACATTGTGTATACCATTACTGTTCTTGTATATTGTCTTTTGAATTGTATACTGTTTTGTGTGTTATGATAGATCACTAATTAATATAACCCCACCGATACCATGTTTGGTCTCTTTGAATTTGTCTTCTGATGATCTAAACGAGAGTGTATATTATATGTTGGTACATAGGCAATATATTAGTGTTTTAAGAATCTTTAGTAGTTTTTGCATCAACACCCAATCAAGTTACATATGCAAATTACCATGCTCTCAGACAAAGGGTCATAAAACTCCCCAGTATTTCCAACCTCCCGCTTGGAAATTCGGCCTTTCTCATTGGACAAGCCCATCCTGAGAGGCTTGAATCTTCTCAGACTTTAAAGGGCTCACGCACAGTTCCACCCGGGTCTTCTGCTAAATCTTCTAATTGCTGCCCGTGTGGAAAGCCTGAGCCGGTGCGGGCGTGCCGGTGGGCTCCATATAGCCTTTCAGTCTGCGGTTCTGTTAGATACGGAGAAGATGAGGATGTGAGCTAGAAGTCTTCTGTACCTTATAAGTCTGCACCAGGCTTCGGCCTTGTCTTTACATTCACCCTGCCAGGCCTCGGCCTTGACTTTCCATTCATCAAAGATCCTAGGATCTCAGCTGATGTCTCTCTTAGTTCTCTCATCACCTTCATCTGGGAGAAAACTCTCCAAATCACCAACGAGCCAGAATAACATCTTTTGCAGTTCATCACCCTTCAAACCCGGAATAACTTGAAGAAATCCAACACCGCCAAACCTTCAAACCATCAAAACTTTCATCCAAAACTGCATCCGGACACTCGTTCAACGACCAAGGCAATGCAAGTATCGTACATTTAACTAAAAACAGAGGTTTAGTATAAGCGGTAGACCTCGTTGTAAAACGGCACTGATGGTTTTTAACTCAGGTGGTTCTGACTCATTTTCCATAACTGAATTCTCTGGTTTCTCTAATGGCTTCATTCATCCACTTTAGCTCCCCTTTTGTATGTCCGTGTGAGTGTATGTATGTTTGTTTGTTTGTTAAACTAGTTTGTGTTAGTGTTTAGTTAATAAAACTTTTGTGCACAAATTACATTTACACAATTCGTTTCTGATTCTGCCTTGCAAATTAATGTCCCTTTAAGATTTTGAACCTTGCTACATGCTCTAATGCATTAATACTGTATGAAAGTATTTTCTGTGGCCACGAAAATATCCTTTCCTAGAGTTGATATGAACTTACACTGAATGTTCGCTGGACGAACAGATTAGTTGAGGGCAATTTAATTCTGCTACAGTTACTACTGGCAGCTGATATAAATAATTGTAATTAATCATAATTAATTGTAATTATTTATATACATTTCCCTTTTGAGCTGATTTGCTACACTGTGCTAATACATAGTGTTTTCACTATATTTTAGATTTTAATATCCATTGCAGAGTTGATGTTATACGGCTCGTTCAATCAATCGCTGGCCGATTCAGTTGATCAATCGTAAAACAGTGATTCTGTTCAAATTCCCTATAAAATCAAAAATAATTCCCTTTGAGCTAAATGGACCTGTTTCCCTTACAAATATTATAGAAAAATAAAAGAATATAATACTATATATAGACATAACATAAAATCAGCGTGAGACTGACAAGTGTTCTGACATTTCTAAGTGTTTCTCTTGTCTTTTTCTCCTGTCAGAATGTCCTGACATCTTATTTGAATCCTTTGGAGGACTTTGGCCTGAGGTTCATACCTTTCAGGAATTCTGGCAAATCATTCTGCTTGAGCAGTTCAAAGTTAGTGTAAATCATTTATTCGGCATAATGTACATTTATTGTAATGGGTGCCTTAATGTCTTGACTAGTATTAATGTGCCAGTACTGGTACATTTTTATAACTTACACAAAAGTTTGTCTTGTATGTAGTAAATCAGAATGTGAATCAGCAATAGATGATAGGCAATTGAGTCGTTTAAAGGGGTCATCGGATGCAAAATTCACTTTACATGTTGTTTGAACATAAATGTGTGTTGGAAGTGTGAGTACACATCCACCCTATAATGATAAGAATCCACCCAGTGTTCTTTTTAAATTCCCATTTTAAAATCCCCTTTCTCAAATCAGGCTGTTCTGAGATTCCTGTCAGAATGACGTAGTTCTGCACAGGCCGC